TCCCGGCCGGAGCGACGAGACAAAAACATTAATACCCATTATAAACGAGGCATTTGTTGCATCCAGTGGGGACAGATTATAATGACATATACTGTCTTTTTACGCGTTGCATTGCGCCGCATCAACATAAAACCATGTCTGCATTTGTGATCGGAGAAATGACAAACAACAAGCGCTACTCTACACTGCTCAAAACTCGCATTTGAATCATCAGTGGCAAATTCTTTCAATATAAAAAAAACTTACTTACAGTCTTGAGTCAGAACAGCCGGCATTGTAGTCTACTCTACCAAGATCAGGAAACAGTCCTCCATAAAATGCGCTGGACACATCTGAATATTTGGGTTGTACTGTTCTGGAACAGTGTTGTAAATACAACTTAACCACTGATTTTTAGTCGTGTCCTCTTTTGGAAGGCCAAACAAAGCAGTTTCGCTTTCACAACGAAACACACAGCGCCTTCACGACATGGCGGCAGCAAAAATATTACAGTGAGAATAAAAGTTACGCCTTCCTTCTTTGCGTGAACATTTGGGCGGCGTTATGCAAATCTTCCCACATCGTGACGTAGACATGTGGGGGCGTGTTAGAACGAGCCGTTTTAGGTAGGCGTGGTTGACTCCTAACTTTTATAAAGAATATCTCTTTGGATTTGAGACTTTAGTCTTTGCAACTTTAAAGATCTTCTTTATGCACCAAGAGCTTGTAACTCCAAAGAGAAAGGAAAAATCATATCCTTTAAAGTGATATATTCCGGCTGCGGACTGCAGAATAAATCATTCATATAATGTTTTGGTCATATGGCCCACTCATAATTGAGTTAAATAATCGTTATTACAATATTGACCAAAATAATCGTGATTATGATTTTTCTCATAATCGAGCAGCTCTAATCAAAATGATAACTAATGGGACTGTATTGTAACCTGTTACCCAAATAGCAACTAAAACTGCCTGGATAATCACCATTACAGCAATATTATGAACTTCAAAAACTTGAACTTTTCATTATTTTCCAAGTACACTGCCTGCCGGCATACACTGCAGACACCCAGCCCTGCCATTTTAATTATACTGGCAAAGTTGTGTGGCACACTGGCAGAGGCTTTGTCTGTCTCACCTGTTTGCGTCATTTGCCAGATCACATTTGATCTAGATGTAATTAACCTAAAATGCATCATAGCAACTTGCCCTGTCAAGCACCACAAAAACTTTTAACTACCCAAGAGTAACAGGGCAAAAGTAATGTCAAGAACCTGTCTGCACTGTAGTGGACACATCTCCCGAGAGAATCAAAACAGCACCATGTCTACAGGTGAGCTCGAGGGCCTTCCTTCATTCACTTGCTTATTTCCCAGTACAGAGGTTGTGAGTTCAGATCTCACTCAGAGCAAAATGCAGCCAGTAACATTGGTGCCATGACCCAGATGAAGCAGTGTGATGAACATTGGACAGGGTAGCTGCTAGGCTTGCCGCAATAGACGGTGATACCGGTGTTAACACTAGTGCTGTGCTCAGAATATCGATACAGCGATACATCGTCATGAACTCCTGACGATGCGTGTATCAGCTGTATCGATACTGTCGCATCACGTGACATCGAGTGGCCATTTTAGCAACGTGAGCAGCAGCGCACTATTCAAAATGGATCAGAGGATTCTGCCACCGCCGACACAAAAATATGGGACAATTTTGGGTTTTACACTCAACCGGAGAGTGAGACATTAGACATGAGTCATGCCATATGCAAGAACTGCAAAGCAAAAGTTAAGTATTCTGGCAACACGACGAACCTCTCTCTGCATATGATGAGACATCATCCAGACCACCTAGCCTTGATCGGGGCAGGTAGCAGTAACGTTACACACCTGTTGTCTCAGAAGCAGCCAACCTTGCCCGATGTTTTTAACTCAAAACTCCCATCCACGTCTCGGCGCTCTTAGAAGATAACAAATGCTTTAATGCATTTCATATGTCAGGATTTACGGCCATACGGTGTTGTCGAGAATAACGGCTTAAGGCAATTGCTTCACGAGTGTGAGCCACGTTACACAATACCGACACGTCAGTTTTTAACAGAAAAGGCAATTCCTCGTTTGTATGATGAAGTTAAACTAGACGTTCTGCTGTCACTCTCTTCTGCAGAGAGAGTTTCCATTTCCTGCGATGCGTGGACTTCGCGAGCAACCCAGTTGTATGTTACGATAAACTGCCACCACATAACGCCACAATGGGAACTTGTCTCGAACGTTCTGCAGACCAGAGCAATGTTTGACAATCACACAGGAGCGAACATGGCAGATTTGCTCAATGATGTGATGCACGAATGGGGAATAAAGGACAAAGATCCAGTGCTAGTGACTGAAAATGAATCTAATATGTCAGTAGCTGCAGAAATAGCCAAATTAATTAATGTGAGATGCTTTGCGCACTGTTTGAACCTGGCTGCTCAACGGGCTCTGAAGTTATCGACAGTTTCCCGTCTTCTCGGAAGAGTTCGGAACATCACAACATTTTTTAGGAAAAGTCCAATCGCCTGCCATGTCCTGCGCGAGAAGCAAAAGTTACTTGGCCTTCCTGAGCATAAGCTGATGACCGATGTCTGCACGAGGTGGAACAGCGCACATGACATGTTGGAGCGATTCGTAGAACAACAGCCTGCAATTTGGGCCGCATTACTCTCAGCTGAGGTGTGGAAAAATGCCAAAGATCTGTGGACATTAACAGAAGCAGACATAGCCTGTGCTGAAGATGTAATAAATGCACTGAAGCGCCACAATGGGAACTTGTCTCGAATTCTGCAGACTAGAGCAATGTTTGACAATAACACAGGAGCGAACATGGCAGATTTGTTCAATGATGTGATGCACGAATGGGGAATAAAGGACAAAGATCCAGTGCTAGTGACTGATAATGCATCTAATATGTCAGTAGCTGCAGAAATAGCCAAATTAGTTCACGTGAGATGCTTTGCGCACTGTTTGAACCTGGCTGCTCAACGGGCTCTGAAGTTACCGACAGTTTCCCGTCTTCTCGGAAGAGTTTGGAACATCACAACATTTTTTAGGAAAAGTACAATCGCCTGCCATGTCCTGCACGAGAAGCAAAAGTTACTTGGCCTTCCTGAGCATAAGCTGATGACCGATGTCTGCACGAGGTGGAACAGCGCACATGACATGTTGGAGCGATTCGTAGAACAACAGCCTGCAATTTGGGCCGCATTACTCTCAGCTGAGGTGTGGAAAAATGCCAAAGATCTGTGGACATTAACAGAAGCAGACATAGCCTGTGCTGAAGATGTAATAAATGCACTGAAGCCACTTAAATTGGCAACGCACGTTATGTCGGATGAGAAAACCCCTACGGTTTCAATCATCGCACCTTTGCATGCGCAGTTAAGTCGCGGCACTCAGCTTGAAAACCGTGACGCGGGACATAAAGATCGCTGTGGCTGGAGAAAAGATATGAGCGTGAAATGCCCTTTCTGAACATGACCTCAGCGCTGGATCTACGCTTTAAAGCACTGCCCTTTTTCGAGGAGGAGAACCGACAGGATGTCTACACCAAAATGGCAATGGAGGCATCACAGACTTCACTTGCAAGGGTAACTTAGACTGTCAGAAAACTAGTTAATGTTCATTATATCAGTTAGTTATATTATAATGGTAGTTATTGTCTTATTACTTGGTTTTATAGGTTCTTTTACACTGCATATATGTTTTATCCATCTACACTAAAAATGTTTTGTTGGAGATCAACTGAAAATATTTAGTTTTTATTAATGTGGGTTACATGAGATCTAATTATAATGTCATGTTATGATTATTTCAGAACCAGAATAATGAAGAAGAGAACAGAAAGCATGCTGAGACAGATCTGTCCCCACCCTGCAAGAGAAAGAAAGTGGACGCTTGTGCTCTTGAGGACTTATTTGGAGATGCATTTTCCCCTCCCAAAACAAAACATCCACCTGTGTCACCATATAATCAGGCCTCTGATGAAGTCAGGAAATACAGAGATACAGAGGCATTACCTCTTACAGGAGATCCACTCGTCTGGTGGAAGGAGCACCAGTCTGATTTCCCATTAATATCAAACTTGGCAAGCTGTACCCTCTGTAGAGAGGGTGTTCTCCACTGCTGGAGATATCATTACAGCAAAGAGGAGTACTCTTAACCCTGAGCATGTTGATCAGTTGTTGTTTCTGCATAAAAATCTGAAGGTTTAATTGTGTAAAGTGATGTCTTTTGTTGCACATTCCACCACTTGAGACCAAAATGTGAAGGTGTTTAAAAATGTGAAGTGTTTGAGAAAGTTAAGATTGTTACAGTTTTTTAATTGCAAAATTGACCTGTATCGTGATACGTATCGTATCTTTAGTATCGTGATACGTATCGTATCGTGACATTGCTGGTGACACACAGCCCTAATTAACACCCAGTCATGCATGAAAAAAAAAAAATACAGTCATGTACCGTGAAACCGGTATAATTCAGAAAAATACCGTGATATAAATTTTTGGTCATACCGCCCAGCACTAGTAGGTTCTGTCGTTCCGTAGTATAGAGTCGCGATCACGAATCTTGAAAGTGAAAGTAAAATGCATATTAGTAGTGACTCCCTGATGGCCGTATTAAAAGGGTTCATGTTTAGTCACTATTTAGTGTGGTATTTTTTTTAAATATTCACTCATCATGACAGTAAAATAGGGCATTCTAAGTCAATATACTGCAGTATTTCCTCTCTCAATCAGTAGAAAATATGGTTAACACCCAGTCATGCATGAAAAAAAAAATACCGTCATATACCGTGAAACCGGTATAATTTTGAAAAATACCGTGATATAAATTTTTGGTCATACCGCCCAGCACTAGTAGGTTCTGTCGCTCCGTAGTATAGAGTCGCAATCACGAATCTTGAAAGTGAAAGTGAAAGTAAAATGCATATTAGTAGCGACTCCCTGATGGCCGCAATTTAAAGACCGTTTAATTACCCAACGATATAATTGTGAGAGAAAGTATTGAAATATTTTTTTATCCTCCCATCTCGTAGGCTATTTATTCCCTTTAGGGGTTCCGTAGTACACTTAATTTCCTTTCCGAACACGGAATTGGGATGCGGCGGATTGTGGGGGGACAGATCACGATGCCGGTTCAACATCGTGATGTCTGTCAGCCATCGGCGATGGGACGATGGCATCGTCTATCGGCCAACCCTAGTCCACACTAACTAGTGTAATATAATCTAGTAGAAAAACTGTGTATTCTCATATTAAATTTCATCATTTTGTGTAATATACACAAATTTATCAAATAGCTGTTTCTGTCATTATAAAAGTAACAAGGTTTTAATAAGGCCTGACATGACCCCAGATTGCATCTAGGGTTGTGGTTCTCAACCAAGGGCCAGGGGCCACTAGAGGGCCTCAGTAAACTTTCAAGAGGGGTTACTTAAACATTTCAATAAATTATTATTAATATATTAAAATAATGAAACTCTAATCTAAATTAAATGTCAAAGATCTAAAGTCAATTATCTAAATTAAAATATTTTTTCCTACTCAATATGTACAGCTTTTATTGAAGAACAAAGTGCTTGAAACTTATGAAATCATGAAGTTTCAATAAATTATTCTTAATTTAATGTATAAACTCTCTCAGTTTGTGTTACTAAAAAAGTTTGAAAACAAGCAGAGTTCTAATAACTGCAGCAGAAATCATGGAAATTTATAAGAGGCTTCGAAATATTGTGCTGGAGAGTGGGATGACTGAATCAAAACCATTGGTCTCGGGTATGAGATTAAAAATAAGTTCAATGATATAAAACAACACAGCTTAATAAAACCCAGAATTTCTCAATTCTGAAGAAAAATTGACGTCTTTGTAAAAAGAATCGCTACATAGAAGACAAAACTGTAAATTTCTTGGCACCTGACGTGTTAATAACCCAAGGGGACTCTTTACGTATGGACTTGTCTAGTCATATCTTAAATATCTACTGTATAAAATGCCTTCAATCTGAGCGAACTTTAAGCATTAATTACTGAATCCAGATCCTCTCTTCATATGTCAGAATAATTCTGCCACTGAGCTTGAATCAAAGAGCTGAGCAGCTGCCAAACTATCACCAATCCAAATATTATAGCAATAATTATCTGAGGTGTCACACAGCACTAGGATCCTCTGATTGAAAGCTACTCTCAAGCAGCATGTGCTGTTTGCAGAGAAACTAGACGCATATGTAAGCAGTCTTCATTCACAGGCAGGTGACAGCCGCCGTCTTGAAATCTAGCGAGCTGCCTACCCAGACAGCATATTTGGGAATCACAGGCACATATGATGCACAGATATGCTGTCTAGGTAGGCAGCTAACTAAGATTTGAAAAAGGCATTAAGCAAGCACTTAAATGTCTAAAATTATACCTTTAATAACCCGCATTGAGTTACTAAGAATTCGGTTCAATTCAGATTAATATAATTAATAATATGTCCTAGGATTAGTTTTGGACATTAACTTAAGCATTCTTTGCAGTATCATTAATAATATGGTACATTAATATCAACAAATTGTGGTATTATTCCCATCCAATATATCACTGTACTATATAAACAGGACTTTTAATAAAAGTAAAAAGAAAGGATGAAAGGCAATAAGCATGACAATATTCCCAAAACGACCCACTACAAAACGTACTGTTGAAATACCATGGTAAAACTCAAATTCCAGTGTAGAGTGTCCAAAAACATAGTTTTACCATGGTACTATGTCCAAAAGATTATGGCAAAACAGCGATAATGACTTAATGACAAACTATGAAAGACTGAATCTGATATTTGAACGCAATGTCAGTGGTACGTAATTAATTTCTGAAGTATTACTATCTTATTACTGAGGTTCTGCCGACTTTTAACTACACTTAAGTGCACCCAAAGTGACTTTTAACAGGACAAATGTCTCTGAAGCCACATGATCAAGCCAGTACTTAAATTATGAATCTCTTCCTTGTATCCAAACATACTGCTTTGACTCAATACTGAATATCTTCTTCACAAAGGGAGCTAAAAATATAAACGCGTTTCCAGAAATAATTGAGTAAGATTGGTAAGCAATCACAGCTATGGCTTCCCTGACACCAGCTAATGCTAAATCCAGACGTGCAAGTCATTCACTTGTGCTGGCCTGAAACATGACATGACTCAAGACGGCTCACACACACACGCTAACAAGAGCTCCAGAGCGGTCAGACTGAGCTCCACAGGCCCTGAGTCCAGGCCCTCGGTCCTCATTCTTGCAGAGCAGGGTAACTGAAAGCAGAAAGCTTTAAAAATAAGTGTCTTAAATCAGGCCCAACCGAAGCCCTGACCTCTCCACGGGCTACCTGCGGGAACACACTCACCCTCAGTCCCGCGACCGGACGAGCCGCAGCAGGCCAGGCCTAGCACACAGGCCCAGCTCAATATCACACCAAGCGGCTCCCAGAAAACGCCCTGTGCGCTACCGAGGCTGTGTAAGCACATAAAAGGTTGCAAAATTCACGGCGGCCGCCATGATGAGTCTTTCCCAGCGCATTTGAATTGAAAACATGGCAACCCCGCGGGTCTGCACTGGCCTACAATTCAAGGCAACGACGCAGCGATCGGCGGTTTTTTCGCACCTACCTTCATGTCGGGACATCCTACAGACAGTGACACAGCCCCTCCACGGGCTCCCTAACGTCTATGAGTCGGAAAGGTGCCGCTAAAAACGAAATAAAAGTGGGACGCGGTCTTTCTTTCCTATTTTCTCTCTTGAAGATGGATCCGGGGCTTACTTCTCTCCGCTTCCCCCTCCCCGTCTGTCATCGAGCGGTGTGTGTGAGACAGAGCAGGCGCGGACGCGGTCTGCCGGCAGGGGGCGCAGCACGCTCTACTTCTTCTTCTGTGGTGTTTGAAGGGCGGTAAACTCGTGTAGCTCTTGAACGGGGTTTCTGTTAGTGTTGACATCGCCATCTACTGTAGCGAAAGGATTTTTTTTAATTATTCAAAATGCAGAAATACAGTGGAGCCGAACGTATGTGGAATTCATAAACGTGTGAATTCAAGCGCACTAATAAAATATAAAACCAAGTGGTATTTATTTTAAGGCAGCAGAAGCACACCAATTTTCTAAAAAAAAAAAAGTTTGTTAGGTTTTAATTAAAAAAAAGTCGAAAAGCATTTGCTGTGTGAATTTGAGAGGTTGTCATGACAAAAAACAGCTGATAAAAAATGTCAGACAAGTAAAGTTCTGAGAAAAAGACTAGAACGTTTGCTTACAGATGGTTTGATGATTTATTGCAATGAATCTCAGACAATTTCAGTCTCTTCGGGCTTAAACTTGCACTTAAATGTTTGGGGCCACTGTAGATTGAAACTGCAATACAGAAAAATAGTCTTCACAATTAATAATTACTCTTCACAAGTCTTCACAAAATTATTTATTAATAAAAAATAAAAAATATAAATTTTTTAATGAATTTATAGTTTTAATCTGCCTTTTCAAGAAACGCTGGTTAAAAACACGGGGAGTATTATATCAACCAGCTACATATACATAGGCCTATAATTAATAATAATAGCCTATATATCATTACAGATTTGCTTTAGTCAACATCGAGAAGATCAGGCCCTTTCTTTTGGAACATGCTTCACAACTCCTTGTTCAAGCTCTTGTTCTGTCCAGGCTGGACTGTTGCAATGCTCTCTTGGCAGGTCTTCCAACCAGTTCTATCAAACCTCTATAATTTATCCCGAACGCGGCAGCAAGATTCATTTTTAATGAGCCAAAAAGAATGCACGTCACACCTCTGTTTATCAATTTGCACTGGCTACTAATAGCTGCTTGCATAAAATTCAAGGCCTTCAAAACCACCACTGGCTCTGCACCCATTTACCTAAATTAAAAAAGTGCCCCTTTTAGACTTGCACTCTATTTATTTACTGCTTGTTTTCTTTGGAAAAAACTAACACTTGCTTCTCTAATCTTTTTGCATTCTATTTGTTTTCTTTTTATTTATTATACAATTATAATTCTGACTTTCTGACTTCTGATTAACAAAAGCAAAAAAGGCCTCTAACACTAGCTTGCTCTATTCTTTGTCTGTTCCTCCACAGGCCCTGAGTCCAGGCCCTCGGTCCTCATTCTTGCAGAGCAGGGTAACTGAAAGCAGAAAGCTTTAAAAATAAGTGTCTTAAATCAGGCCCAACCGAAGCCCTGACCTCTCCACGGGCTACCTGCGGGAACACTCTCACACTCAGCCGAGCGAGCCGCAGCAGGCCTGGCCTAGCACACAGGCCCAGCGCAATATCACACCAAGCGGCTCCCAGAAAACGCCCTGTGCGCTACCGAGGCTGTGTAAGCACATAAAAGGTTGCAAAATTCACGGCGGCCGCCATGATGAGTCTTTCCCAGCGCATTTGAATTGAAAACATGGCAACCCCGCGGGTCTGCACTGGCCTACAATTCAAGGCAACGACGCAGCGATCGGCGGTTTTTTCGCACCTACCTTCATGTCGGGACATCCTACAGACAGTGACACAGCCCCTCCACGGGCTCCCTAACGTCTATGAGTCGGAAAGGTGCCGCTAAAAACGAAATAAAAGTGGGACGCGGTCTTTCTTTCCTATTTTCTCTCTTGAAGATGGATCCGGGGCTTACTTCTCTCCGCTTCCCCCTCCCCGTCTGTCATCGAGCGGTGTGTGTGAGACAGAGCAGGCGCGGACGCGGTCTGCCGGCAGGGGGCGCAGCACGCTCTACTTCTTCTTCTGTGGTGTTTGAAGGGCGGTAAACTCGTGTAGCTCTTGAACGGGGTTTCTGTTAGTGTTGACATCGCCATCTACTGTAGCGAAAGGATTTTTTTTAATTATTCAAAATGCAGAAATACAGTGGAGCCGAACGTATGTGGAATTCATAAACGTGTGAATTCAAGCGCACTAATAAAATATAAAACCAAGTGGTATTTATTTTAAGGCAGCAGAAGCACACCAATTTTCTAAAAAAAAAAAAGTTTGTTAGGTTTTAATTAAAAAAAAGTCGAAAAGCATTTGCTGTGTGAATTTGAGAGGTTGTCATGACAAAAAACAGCTGATAAAAAATGTCAGACAAGTAAAGTTCTGAGAAAAAGACTAGAACGTTTGCTTACAGATGGTTTGATGATTTATTGCAATGAATCTCAGACAATTTCAGTCTCTTCGGGCTTAAACTTGCACTTAAATGTTTGGGGCCACTGTAGATTGAAACTGCAATACAGAAAAATAGTCTTCACAATTAATAATTACTCTTCACAAGTCTTCACAAAATTATTTATTAATAAAAAATAAAAAATATAAATTTTTTAATGAATTTATAGTTTTAATCTGCCTTTTCAAGAAACGCTGGTTAAAAACACGGGGAGTATTATATCAACCAGCTACATATACATAGGCCTATAATTAATAATAATAGCCTATATATCATTACAGATTTGCTTTAGTCAACATCGAGAAGATCAGGCCCTTTCTTTTGGAACATGCTTCACAACTCCTTGTTCAAGCTCTTGTTCTGTCCAGGCTGGACTGTTGCAATGCTCTCTTGGCAGGTCTTCCAACCAGTTCTATCAAACCTCTATAATTTATCCAGAACGCGGCAGCAAGATTCATTTTTAATGAGCCAAAAAGAATGCACGTCACACCTCTGTTTATCAATTTGCACTGGCTACTAATAGCTGCTTGCATAAAATTCAAGGCCTTCAAAACCACCACTGGCTCTGCACCCATTTACCTAAATTAATTTCTTCAGACTTATGTGCCCTCTAGAAGCTTGCGTTCTGCAAGTGAACGTCCCAAAGAAGCACAAAATCACTTTTACGGACTTTTAAATTAAATGTTTCCTCCTGGTGGAATGACCTGCCCAACTCAGTCCGAGCATCTTCAAGAATCAGCTAAAAACACACCTCTTCCATCTTTATTTGACCCTTTAACTCTAGCACTCTATATTCTAATGCTATTCTTTATTAAAAAAATTTTTTTTTTTTAAACTTGCCCCTTTTAGACTTGCACTCTATTTATTTACTGCTTGTTTTCTTTTTGCATTCTATTTGTTTTCTTTTTATTTATTATACAATTATAATTCTGACTTTCTGACTTCTGATTAACAAAAGCAAAAAAGGCCTCCAACACTAGCTTGCTCTATTCTTTGTCTATTCTGTGTTTTCTTTTTAGTTATTATATGATTAAAAAAGAAAAAACGTGCTATGTGTACTGCATTAAGCTACCTGAGACTTGTTATAGCACTTGCATATCATTGCTCTTTTGTTGATTTTGATTGCTTCCATTGTCCTCATTTGTAAGTTGCTTTGGATAAAAGTGTCTGCTAAATGTAAATGTAAATATCATTAATAAATGATGCCCATTCAGAACTTGCGCAGTGATCCAGAAACAGTGATTTGTTTGCATTCTTTATTTATGCAAGTAATATTCAGTGCTATCTTATAGGCATTTTGAGTCCTTAGATAAGAAACAAGCAGATAAACAAAGTTGACACACTAGTGTCATGTACAAAGTGACCGTCAAATGGCCTCCAATATCATACTGTTAATTAGACAGCGAGTTTTATCTGTAAAATACAGTGCATTTAAAAAGACAATTGCAGCAGTTAAGATAACATTCCTACATGCAAAACATGAACCCCTGTATATCCACATTACATTCCTTACATGTGATTATCAGATTATCAAACAGCATTCCCTCATACCATACAATAAAAGCATGCTTTAAAGAATATTGAATAGGTTAAAAAAACTCCTCCATGTTCTTCTATGTGTGTTTAAATCACAGACTCATAAGTAAAGCACTGACTTTTGAGATGAATTGTATTGCCAATAAGGCATTTGGATAAAAACCAAATAGGTTTGAATTATTTTAAAGGAAAATTCCTAAATTAGCAGGACTTTTTATATGAGATGATAAAAAGTCTACTTAAAATGAAGAACATTTTGGCACAAGGGAGTGTTTTTCATTGCAATTTGTGTGTGTGTGTGTGTGTCAGATAGGCCTAATATAATGTTCTCAACACAGATTTAATGAAAGTAAAGAAGAAATCTGCATATCCCTATTTAAACAAAGTACAATATGCTTATTGTCCAAGTTTAAGACAAATTGTTTAGTAGTATTTTAAAATGTTAATTTTGAATGAATTATAAAAAATGGTATATGATAAGGCATTCTCAGTTGAATCTTATGTAAAGGTTTAGTTCAATGTCCACATCTTTCTCTACCAGTGACCAATATTACGTAAAAAAACCTTAACGAATAAAATGATTTCAATAAAAAGCAGCACAAATGTAATTTCTACAGCTAAAAAGCAAAATATGTCCATGAAAGTACTATGATAATTTGGCAATTATCTAAAAAAAGCATGATAATATAAATATTAACTGCCACAGATGTAATGATCATCTGAAGACATTTGGTTCTTCTCATTACCATCCAATGATGTTCATTCACTGTACAAAATCCAAAGTTACGGACTTATCAAATGTTGGCATGGTATGGCAACTGGCTGAGTCACAATTTGGGACGTTTCTATAGACAAACAAGTCCGCATGCAGGAGAACCAAACAAAGCCCATCCGTTCTTTCCTTTATGAGGCCCACTTGCGAAAAGCAACGTTCCTTTCTTGAAGGGAAGAAGTTTGAGTTCCAGTGAGGCTCTGTGGAGATCTAAGAGCCTTCATTCTGAATCTGAGGCTGTTCAGTGTCTGGCTGATCCTCTGCTGTCTTCTCTTTGATAGAGGAGGGACTGCTGTCGGGTTTGTTGCCGTCTGGGTTGCCATGGCTTCCTGCGCTGCCCAATCGAGTTGAAGCAACCACCGCTTTGACCGCTGCCTGTGGAAACATAAACACAGGGGCATGCATTGTTCAGAATTTCATAACTTTTATATTCAAGCACATTGACTGTATTGATTATTATTTGTTAAGGTTTGGTTTTAATTAAAGGAGTGGTTGATTGCGATTTCACTTTTTTAACGTTAGTTAGTGTGTAATGTTGCTGTTTGATCATAAACAATATCTGCAAAGTTACGAAGCTGAAAGTTCAATGCAAACGGAGATATCGTCTTTTAAAATTCTGGCAGTTTAATGCCTACAAAAACGACTGGTAATGGACTACAACAAGTTACTTCCCGGGTCCGTTACATCAAGAACCCAGAATTTTACATAAACCCCGCCTCCGGGAACACCGCTGCTTTACAGAAGAGGAAGAGAAAACTAGGGGTGCACGTAAAAATCTATTCATATATGAATTGCGATTCTGTCTTCTAACGATTCTAATGGATTCACAAGTTTCAAAATGTTCTAAAGCATCGTTCTCATCCTGTTCCTGGCCTCGACCTGCTCTGCACACGCTCTGCATCTCTCGCTCTCTCTCTCTCTCTCATTCGGATCATCAGACCAGTGAATACACTTATTTTCACATACTATAGCTATGAAAAAGCGTTATACATGGACGCGCGTGCGGTTGCCGAACTGTATTAAAGCTTTAATCAGAATAAAACCGTATATTAAAATCTAACAGAAGCAGTAGCATTTACAAATAACAGCGTAGCTAAAAGTATGAGACAACAACAAACAAAAATATTACGCCTACCATTAAAAGCCGTGCTTGTACAGGTTCTGCACGATCCTCTTCAATAATATCCTCTGCGTCTCAATCGGGCTCAAATTGATAAGCAATATAGACGACGTCATTGTTTACAAAACAACCAGAGCACATGCCGCTATGTTGAGGGGTGGGACGCTTAGACGCGCGCTAGAGGCGGTTTAGCCAATCACAACACACTGGGCCAGCTAATCATCGAGCCCATCGTGTATTTCTGAGGGAGGGGCTTCATAAAAGCAGGAAATGATCAGCATGTTCAGAGGAGACGGGACAGAGCGTTGTGTGGAATAAAGGTAAATTATGTGAAAAATAATGCGTTTTTTAACAAACGAAGCATTAACACATGTTAGACTGCACCCCATAAACACAATCAAGCCTAGAAAAAAACAGTCAACCACCCCTTTAATGTTAAACACTAAGTTCGCCCCAAAATTTAAATTTGTTGAAAATGTACTCATCCTGATGTAGATGAGTTTGTTTCTTCATCAGAACAGATTTGGAAAAAAATAGCATTACATCACTTGCTCACCAGTGGATCATCTGCAGTGAATGGGTGCCGTCAGAATGAGAGTCCAAACAGCTGATAAAAACATCACGATAATCCACAAGTAATCCAAATGACTCCAGTACATCAATTAATGTCTTGAGAAGAAAAAGAGCTGCGTGTTTGTGAGAAATAAATCCATTATTATCCAAGTTTTTAACTTTAAAACATTGTTTCTGGCAAACATACGACTCCATAATCCATAATAATGTTTCCTCCAGTAAACAAGTCAATCCCCTGTTGTCCTTTCACATTTTAAACAGTGCTTGATCTGGGTATATTTCTCTTCTGATTCAGACGGGATTACTTATTCACTGAAGAAAGCAATATTGTGGATAGAGGACTCCAAGCTAAGTTTGAAAAGTCTTAACTATGAATTTGTTCATTACAAACATGCAGCTTTTCATTTCACAGGACATTAATTGATGGACTAGAGTCATGTGGATTATGCATGACGCTTTTGTCTCATTCTGAGGGCACCCATTTACTGCAGAGTATCCACTGGCGAGCAAGTTATATAATGCTTAATTTTTCAAAATCTGTTCCACTGAAGAAAGAAACTCATCTACATCTTGGATGGCCTGAGGGTGAGTAAACTTTCAGCTAATTTTCATTTTTGGGTGAGCTATTCCTTTAAGGAGACATGTGTAAATTCTAAGCCACTAGTAGCATCAAGCTTGAAAAAAACCCTCAGTTTTTACATTTCTGAGGATGTGTGAGTGGTACTTGCTTGTGCACTATGTTTGAATTTTTTTAAAAGTCTTTTTAATATGTTTCTATGTGGCTACTAGGGTATTCTGGGTGGTTGCTTACTGGCCCCAGTCAAATGTACATATTTCTATGATATTCTGGATATTCTCTTTGGTTTATGGTCTAAATTCTATGGAAGCTTTTTTTGCCAGGAGCAATTCTTTGAGGATTTTATACATGTTTAAGTTGTGAACAAATGTAACAATGTCAACCCTATAAAGACTGGCATATGCATATACTCATACATTGAAAAAAATGTTTGATTCATCCAATAAAAAAAATTTAGGGTAATGATTCACATCTATATTTTTTAACTTGAGCCAATGAAAAATAAATAACTTGCCCTAAGGGTATGCCCAATAGTATGATAAAGGAGAATATGGAGCTCATAATTGAGGAGGGAAAAAAAAACTCAGTGGGCCAAACTGAGAAAAAACTATTAAATTTGGTGCAGTTGCTAATATTTGTATGCCCAAAAAGTAAGATGAAATTCTAAAAGCTAGTAATGTAAATCAATGAGATATTTATAATGTAGCAGACTACTAACATTAAATGCATGTAAGTATTAGTTGTCACTCTCCCGTCAAAAAGTCTTAAATGATACTTCTTAGTTTTACGACCAAAGCTCTGTAGTTCTTATTGTGGGGGGCAAAACATGTAATGCAATGCAATACAGTAATGATTGAGTGATGTACAAATAAATGTTCCTCAGAAGCACATCATATTTGATACTCACGTTTTAACATACATTTTCAAGAAAATTTTGTACGAATAATCAAGAAATCTTAAGTGTTCACAAAAACAAAATAAAATGTATTCTTACATTAACTTAATAAAATTCTGTAAAGATTTCACAACAAAATACACATGTACATGTACACGCAGGGCCAGAGTAACACACAGGGCTACCGGGCACATGCTCAGGGCACTAGACCCAGACAATCATGTTAAAACATTTAGAGCCTTTAGAAATGTGGGCATCAAATATGATACAGTAGGCTTTTGAGGGGTAAAACCTTGATGAAAATGTGTCATTTAGCCAAAAACCTCAAACCTTGAGTTTTCTTCGAGCATTGAACTCCAGGAGTTTCTTCTGAGCCGTGTCCATATGAGTGAAGTTAACAGCCTTTCCAGAGACCCAGGGGTGCTGCAGTGCCTGCTGTGTCGACAGCCGTTTCTTTGGATCCTGGACAATCAGTTTCTTCACCTGTGAAGCCAAAAAAGATGAGTAACACTTTCAGCTTACAAATATAGATTTGAAACCCAACATCAGTGTTACTGAACAAGCAAAATGACTTACAGGCAGAGGATGTTTCTGATCGACGAAATGTTCTTTCCTCCTTTTTACTGTTTCCGTAAATATGTGTTTTTGGTGATTACAAGTGGTCAGTGCTAAATACAGGGTGGGTTTTCTCATTATTAAAATATTGTGTCTTCATTTGCATCTATGGTTCCATGAAGAATCTTTAACATCCATGGAACCTTCACATTACCAAAAAAGCATGTTTGCTGAAAGGTTCTTTGTGGAACCCTAAAAGTCCCTAAAGAACCCATAAAGTCTAATATAGCAATATTCTCTTTGTAAGTAATAGTGATTTTACTATGGTTTAGGGGTGTTGTTAGGCACAACATGTAGCAGAAAATTATATATATATATATATATATATGTGTGTGTGTGTGTGTGTGCCTAAATAATTCTTCCACATAGTTATATAGTTCATTAGCATAACTGAAGGCAGTTTACTGTTGCCAAGCAATGTAGCAGCTTGGTTTACTGAAATAGAATTGAACTGATGTGCTCTCACAGGTGAGTGTTTTTCATACAGTGGCGAACGCAGACCTCCAATTAGAACTTAACATTTAAACTATTTTAAAGTATAAAACATAATATAATGTACAGCAGATATTAAAAGGACTTAAAAGACATCAAAATGTTCTTCTCTGTGTGTGTGTTCTGGTATGTATGGTTTATGAGGATGTACATATATAGTGTCATGGTTACTACAATGTAAACATGATGAGGACACTTCCTGTTTTTTGTCCAGCTTTTTTTGAAAATCTAAAAATGCTGAAATTTTTGTGTAAGGGGTAGCTTTAGGGGTAGGGTAAGGGGATACAAAATACAGTTTGTACAGTATAAAACTATTATGCCAATGGAGAGTCCACATATGTAAGTGTGTGTGTGTGTGTGTGTTTGTGTGTGTGATGTTTTTATACTTAGGGATTTCATGAGGGTTATTAGTGATTTATAAATATTGAGATTTACTCACAAGGTCCTTGGCATTGAGAGACACATTGTCCCACCAGGGGGAGACAAATTCATATTCACAGTTCAGGATGCGTTTAAACATGTACTGGTCTCCTCTGTCATCAAAAAAGGGCTCAAAACCACATAACCTGTACAGAGAATAGAAACAAAAAACAGTGCTAGTTTTAACATCAGCTTCACCTCTACAAAGTGGCATTGAACTACAATTTTAAAGAATTATTTTCTATTTGAATATATTTTAAAATGCAATTTATTTCTGTGATATCAGAGCTGAATTTTTAGTACCCATTACTTCATTCTTTAGTGTCACATAATCCTTTAGATATCATTCCAATATGCTGATTATTATCATTTTATATGATAATTTTTTCAGTTTTTCAGTGAATAACTACCTAAATTCCAGTCAGTTCCTTACAAATGGATGAAATGGGTTTAAAACAACATTTACTGATGATAGATTTTAAAAAAAAAAGAGTTTTAGTTTTGTTTTCTGTCAAACTTTCTTAGACTTTATGTTTTTGTAAAAGAAACTACATCCAATTCCTGGAATTACACTCAGAAGTTCAAAACGTGCTTCATGCTTTTCACCAGTGAGGCTGATCTGAGACAAAACCAGCATTTCGCGATTGATACAACAGAGAGACTGAATGACTAAGCACAGCACATCCTGTGAAAGAATAACTTTAGACAAGTGTCGTGGCACTCACAAAATGTACGTGATAACTCCCACAGACCACATGTCAACCTCAGGGCCATAGGCACATCCCCGCAAAATCTCAGGAGCTGAGGGAGAGAAAGGCAGAACATCAGAAGAAAAGAATAAAGGGGGAGGAGACGCTCTGCTGCACTAATGCCGTAAAAAGACTACATCTTCTCTGTAATTCTCTTTGTGCAACTGATGGCCACAGATGGTGCTCTGTTAAAAAAACCTCCTCTTTAATAAACTCACCACAATAGCCTGGAGTCCCACACACAGTCTTCATTGTTACCTGATCGTCTACAATTTTCGACAAACCAAAATCCGCTGTAAAGATAAATCACACCAAAGAAAATCAGTTTTTCATTTTCTGAAATGGCTCTTGCAAAAGCAAACCTTGCTAAGACATAGTAGAGCATCGCTAAGCAGCTGATGGGGTGTTCTGGGTGGTTGCCAGGTGTTTGCTCAAGTCTCTATGATATTCTGGTCCCCAGATATGGCTCTAGTCTCTTCTTTAGTGGTCTAGTCTCATGACTAGGTGAATCTCATGACATGTGAGGAGAGCAGTACATATTTTAAAGCAAAAAAAAAATTTTGCTAAAATAAAATTAACCATTACAAATTTGTGCATTGCAACGTAACTGTAATGATAATTATGCATACCCCAATTCTCATTAATTAGGCCATCGTGCAAAGAGAAAGGAGTTTGTAGAAGGGGAAAGTGGGGTCAAAGTGAAGACCCCAAACACTGACCAGCTGAGAGGAGCTTGTGATTGGAAGCTCTCTGTCGACTTAAATCGAAGGCTCTGCTTCCCGGCTGAAATTGTGGTTACCAGCCTCAGACCAGACCTTGTGTTGTGGTCCTCTTCATTATGTACTGTGTACATCTTAGAACTCACTGTGCCCTGGGAGGATGCGGTGGAGGAGGCCTATGAATGCAAGAGCCTTAAGTATTCTAAACTGGCAGTTGAAGCAAAGCAACGTGGCTGGAAAACAAAGGTTTGTCCAGTTGAAGTTGGCTGCAGGGGCTTTGTGAGGAGATCTGTCATTAAACTGCTAAAATAACTAGGAATCCAAAGCCAATTCCAATGGCAAGCTGTCAAGGTCGATGACTCTGGATTAGGAGGAGGGAATCCCTCTGGGCCCCATAACAACAGAGGTGAAATCAGAGGGGCCCACAACTGGGACACCCCAGGGGGTGCCGACTAGCCCTCTGGAGGTGTAGTGGGCTGATATCATCGAAACACCAAAGAAGGGGGGTGCCCACCTGATGACCCCAATGAAGCTGAGACCTCTTTCCCTCTATACCCTCTCCCCTCTACTCCTGGTGCTACCACTCAAGATGCTCTACATTGCTTTCCACTTATCTCAGGCAGGTGTAGTAGTAATATGGGTTAGTACCAACTAGTCCTAAAATGCAACTAAAAAGTTTTCAAATTCATATGGGTGTCACGACACACACACACACTGGGAGCACAGGAACGAACGTGGAGACGAGGAACAAAGTAAATTTCAAAGGTTTAATAAACAAAAGCTGGGAATACAGAGACACAGTACACACTGAGGACACAAAATGACATTCGACAGCAGACAGGAAACAAGGGGCAAAACACACCTTATATAAACAGAAACTAATGGGACACACCTGGGATCAATAGAACTAAATGGGAATAGGAACAGGAAAAAACAAATATGGGCATAAACATTAACCTGGAGCACACGGGGGAGGAAAACACAACACGAGACATGGAACAAAGTCTGACAATGGGAATCTCCTCTATGGGTGGTAAACAGATTAATCTGTGCCTGATAATGAGCAAAATTAAAGTAATGGCCAAGCTGCACTGAATATATTTCATAGGCCAATTTCATTTTACAATGCGTACAAGGCAGCACTGTATTGATATTCCTCAAACAATATTATTACATCTTTGATGTGTTTATTGTATTGTTTACTTTATTTGTAAATGTATTTGTTTTATTGTTGATTGCAAAGTGCTGTTGTTGTTGATTGTATATATATATATATATATATATATATATATATATATATATATATATATATATATATATATATATACTGTATATGCTACAAAATACAAATCCTCTAAAATTGTACAATTAGATATACTGATGACTATGCAGAAAAACACTTACAGTAAAACTTATTACCTCACTTAATACGTCACTTTACTTAATACTTATGAGTGGCTCTGATGTGGAATTACATTAATGTAGAACCCGAAAGCCAAAACCTGAACTTTTCCTCAATCTTAAATGTTAAATGTTACATTTAATTTAATTTAATTTAATTTTTGCTGCCTTGCAAGCACTGCTATTTACTTCAGAAAATGCAAATCTAGTTTTAAGATATCCTCTTTTGAAATTAAATTAAATTTAAATTTAATCTAATTACAAAAATTAATTAGATTAAACCTAAGTTTCAAATGTCAAGGTATAATATGGAGCACCGCAACAAAAATATCTCACACAAAACAAAAATCTCTTATCAGACAGAAAAAAATGTTACTGCTTAAAAGGATAGTTCATGGAAAATTTTTTATTCTGTCATCATTTATTCACCCTCATGTCATTTCAAACCTGTATCATTTTTTCCCCCTGATGAACATAGAATATATTTTGAAGAATGTGGGTTACCAAACAGTTTCTCGTCCCCTTTGACTTGCACTGTATTTATTTATTTATTTTCCCCATTCTATGTAAACAAATAGGGACTAGCAACTGTTTGGTTACCTACATTATTCAAAATGCAGAAGAAAGAAGCTCATACAGGTTAGGAACAACATGAGGGTGAGTAAATGATGACTGAATTTTCTTTTTTTGGGTGAACTATCCCTTTCAGCATTGTTTGAGAATATTTTCCCAAAACATTTGGCATGATTATTGTGGGTGATTGTCAAAGTCTTGCTTTGCAGTAAAGGATTCTGAATATTTTTTAGCACTATTAAATTGCTAGAGATTTCTGGGTTGTTTTTATGTGTGAGAGGTCATTTCATATGCATCAAACAAATGGACCAGTTACACCAAAGTGTTAGGACTTTGTTCAGATCGCTATACTTGAGTATGGGCAATGCTAAAAGTGATACTTGCCTTAGCAAACACCACTAATTAGAGCAACGTCCACCGTTCACAACAGATCTGTTTATAATCAGCCCGATGCACTTGCCAGTGCCTTGGTGAGTGTTACCACGGAAACTCATTAAACAGAGTAGCACGGGCCATAAATCTGCCTGGTTACAGAGAAACAGCACGTGGTCACCATCTAAAATGTGCTACAGAGGGAACTGATGAGCGTCAAAGAGAACCAACATGAGGAAGATGTGAGGAAGGTTTTAATACATATATTAGCCAGTTCTGTTTGCTAAAGCAAGTATCACCATTACTATTGGACATACTTAATTTTATTTTTTACTTGGTCAGTAAGCAAACTCCTTGTAACAAGCAAGCAACTGTATAGCTATATATGCTATAATGTACAACCGTCTAATTCCAGAACAAAAATTCCCATTCATTTTCCTCATAGTGAAATATAAACCATTGAAACACAAGCTATGAGGTTGTAAATATACACTATATGCTTTTGTTAAAGCCATCAGCCAACAATATTTCAACTTAGTTTGCTGTTTAACAACTGAACAGCTGAAAGACTACATTACCCATGATTCTGCAGAGATTCTCCACCAATCAGAGAACAGAAACAAACAAATCACCCCTTCAGCTTCTACCCACTCCCTCCTGAAGCATGTGCAAATGATATGAAAATTTGAAACTTTCAGTTTTATATAATGTTACTTTCTATAAGAAACAAATTATGTCACTTTTTTCAGGATATTCAAACAATAAATGCCTTTTTGATGCACTTTGATGTGGTGTGACAGATTGCTGTAGGTGCCTCAGTTCAAACGGCAGCACAGAATGTGAGTGAACTCAATCATCCCTTCCTCTTTACTACTAGTTATAACATGAAATAAACATGAATGAACATCTCATGCCTCATGTAATCGCTCAATCAGTGTTTCAAGGTATATATTTACCTTAGGCAAGTTATTATTTGTGTCCACAGCCTGTTTGTTCAGTAGAGAAATTAAGTCTAGAGAAGAGCATTTCGCTAAATACTAGTTTATATATTCATTATATTTTGCTTAACCTGTTAGTGATGTCTACATTTAATGTATGTTTAAAGTCATGAAAACAAGCTATGACAGCCACTGTGTAAATGATTATATTTCAACAACGAATAGAAATGTTATAGCCTAAATAGATTTAGTTAATGCAAAAACTGCCTTGCCATTTATTTTTTATTTGAGTGTAAATTATTATTCTGCTTCCCCTCATTAAAAATAAGTACACAGTCTTGAAACTTTGGCTTCTTGTTCATTTTTGCTTCTTGTTTCTTTCCATGAAAAGTAACTAACGCAAATTTGTTACTTTTCTTATGGAGTAGTTACTTTTTTATGAAGTAACGCAATACTGTGATGCATTACTTTTAAAAGTAACTTTCCCCAACACTGCCAGAACATTCTAGTAACTACACAGCAACACCTTGCCACTTTTTTTGCAACATTGTTGCAGCTAATATTACACTCAATCTTTTTTTTTGGTTTGAAAATCTAATTTATTTATCATTATTTGGAGTATTTACTTTGGTTTGCAATTAAGCATGCTTAGATAAAGCTTCCAAAAGGCCTATTATAGTCTCACACCACATCTGTCATCTGTAAATATGGATTGGTTCAAATGTTCTCCCATATATCATTCACATGGGAAAAATCCAACTTTACACTGACATATACTTCTCTTAACTGTCAAACTAGTATGCACAACTACCCGTATAAAGGCAGAGTCACCACAGTCCCCAGTGTAAAAGCATTCCAACTGGTTTGTTTGCAATAGAGCCACAGAATGATTCCTCAGAGGAGGAGCAGTACAATGTGCCAGCTTCCCAACACCAATTATTATGGTGACATGAAGGACATGTTATCTTTTGCTGGGGTCCAAAGGGAATACTTCCATCCTGTTCAAAACTCAGTAGAGCTGACACACATAAAGTACATCATCTCTCTCCTTCTCTTCCTCCTCTCATCTGACAAGAGCAGGAGGTCTGTAGCTCGCCACTGCTGCCATCTGTGTCCCCACCCCATTAAGATTATTTTAGCAACTAGCCTCCTTATGTACGTCCACACAGTTAAAGGTGAAGTGTATAATTTCTGTGCCACTAGTGGCTCCAAACTGAATTGCAGAATTAATGATTTTCAAAGTTTACGCTTCTGGCTTTGTAAAGCCTATTTCACATTGCACCGACAGACGCCGACCAATGGCTACAGAAAAGTTTGGTGGGCTTTGTCGGATCAATGTGTTACCACTGTTGGCGCCTGTTAGTGTTAATCGTCGCTTGTTTTTGCAGACTGAACAATTGGGAGTTTGTCGGGTCGTGGAATGTGTGAGAAGTGAGGTGCTGTAATCTGGTGAATGTTGGTGTTGGGTGGCGTCTGTCGGTGAAGTGTGAATTAGCCTTAACTTGTTTCAAATAACAGTTTTGCCCAAGATGATTGTCTCATTTCTGCGTGAATCTCGTAAGAGTTTTCTGTAGGATGGTTGCTTTCTAGACACGATGGCTGGTCGGGATGCATAAAAACTACTGTAATGTTTTAATAGCACCATAGTGTTTGCTCTTTTCAGGGGAACCTAAAATGGCTGACTTATTGTTGAATCTTAATGGTTTGAAAAATGACAATCACCATCAAGTGGTTCAAAGCTCATGTTACTATCTTTCATTCATAGAACACAAAAAGAGACATCTAGCAGAATCTTTACTTTAAGTGGATGTGGACCAACCACATTGTCCTAGATTACTTATTTTGTGTTAATACAAAATAAAGTATTATGGACATCGTTGAGAGTGACATGAGGGTGAGTAAATGATGGCAGAACTTCCATTTTATGGTGGATTATCCCTTTAAGACAGGGGTATTGAACTGAAGTTGAAAAAAAAATGGATATGAATATTATAGGGTAAGTCAGATGTTTTATCAGACTATTATTATTTTAATATATTAAGATACCTATCTGGCAGAGGGCCATGTGACAGTTAAAAGATAATGTATGGGGTTTAGGGTTTTCCTCTTGAAGTCATAGGCCATTTTATATTTAGCTTAAAATAAGTATCTACTAAAAACAAACAATGTACATAATAATCAAAATACTCTCAGCATGAGAAGCAAACAAAGTTAACTAGAAATTTCAAAGTTTTAGTTGTCCTTTCTTGCCATAAGTTTTATAACATTGTTTATGAAATGCTCCTAACATCCTGATTAATAATGTAGATGAATGTGAAATGTGTTGTCAAAAACATTTTTTCTTAATTTCTTGCAATTCCGAGTATCTCTGTAATGGGCTGACAAGATGTGAGACATGTGGATCCATCTGCAGGCTTTATTTAAGAGACGTGGTAAACAGGCAGGGTCAAAACACTGGCAAACAGGTATATGGCGGGCAAAACACAAGAATAGTCACAGGGCTAGCGTAGGTCACCGATAAGCAGACAGAATCACAGGGGCGAGACGAGAGGGAGAAATCCAAGAAAACAGGCAAGGCAAGGCAAAACAAGGAAACCACGGAGACTCGGAAAGGGGTACAGGCTAAACAATACTCAGCAGAGAAAGGTGGTTAGAGTGGGTGTTATATAGTGAGTGAGGTGATTAGAAACAGCTGTGTGCAATCAGTGCAGTGTGCAAATCGTGCAAAGAATGATGGGATATGTAGTCCGGGGTGCTATGCAACAGTTTGTGTTGTGCGAGAGTCAATGAAATGGAAAGGGTGACCTCTGGTGGTGAATAAACGGAAGTCCATGGACTGAATTTGTGACAATCTCACAGTTTCTAGTTAACATTTCGTAATTATCATGTTTTTCCAAAGAATTGTGAGTCTCTCACAATTCAGACCTTTTTTCCAGAATACTTAACTCGTAACTGAGATTAAAAAAAAGTTTTGAGAGAAAATTTGGAATTGAAAATATAAACTCACAATTTTGAGAAAAAAGTCTGAAAAGCAAGATGTTAACTTAAATTTGTGAGATATAAACAGAATTGTGTTATGAACTTGCAAATCTGAGAAAAAGTTAAAAAAAAGTCAAAAGTAAACTCAGACTTGTGAGAAATAAAGTCAAAATTCTAAGATAAACATTTTTATTTTTTAATATGTGGCAGAAACAGGCTTCTATAGTCAGTTGCTTACAAATTGTCCGTTACTGATTCCAAATTACATGACAAAAAGTAAAGTAATCCATTACATTACACATATAATCAGACTATTTTTGATGACTTTTAGATTACTTTTGACCTAACTCGTGTATCACATTGATTTAAATAAGATAATCTTCTACCATATTGATATAAAAACACAAAGAGTAAGAAAATATATTCCATTTGTTGTTATTAACAACATGAAGTGCATTGAACATTAATGTCAAGGTTTCCCAAACTGGGAAAGAACTGCAGGAGGTTCGTGCATTTAATGAAAAGCTCATAATTAATTAAAACATAAAAATTTTTAACTAAAAAAAAAAAGGTGTTTTTTTAAATAACATCAATTAAAATAAAACAATTTCTATTTGTTTTCCTGCACGTCATGTGAAAATTAACCAAGGGGTACTTCAAGTAAATATATTAGCTAAAAGAGGTTAAGATAACAAAAAGGTTTGGGAATTTGTGCATTTTAATGTGTTTGAAAGACAAGATTCCAAAGACAAAGTAATACTTAAATAACCCACTGAGTGACAGTTCAAATAAAAATTTATGTGTTCATCAGTAGTTGAAGCAGTGCTGAAACACTTCCTAAAGGGGTCATGACATGAGAAATCAAATTTACCTTGATCTTTTGGCATATAGGTGGTCTTTGTACCATTAAAACATTCTGAAAGTTTCATAGCTTAAAATGTCCTCCTCATTTTAAACAAAGCCTTTATTTAATCAAGCTCCAAAAACAGCTCGCTTTGGATTTGAGATGTAAGATGACGTCACTTGGCACAAACATTTGCATAAACACTGCCATCAACGAATAGTCATCTTCTCACCATAGGCCCCGCCCACTGGCGTTCAGTCGCTTATTGGCTTGACACTTGATTACGCTGAATGCGAGTGTTGCGTTGCCTCAAAAGTGAATAGAAATTACAATCACTACCGCTATCTTGTCTACACTGAATACAGTTTACAGATGCGTGTTCGCTTTCTGACACAGTCCACACGCTTGAGTCTGACGTCAATAGGACAAATTGAGAAAGAATGAAAGAATGTTCGCTTTTTGACATGTTTGGTTTAAACAGCTAGTTCACGTCTTTGTACAGATATCAGAAGGATCCCAGCGTAAGGAACAAGTGGATAGTTTATTTTAATGGCACCCGGATCGAGTCAGAGGATTGATCAGAGCATTTTGTTTTGTAAACGAGGCACACTCTCATGGAGAGTTCACAAAGAAACATTTGTTGAAAGATGACACGGTAATATATCTGACTGCAGCTGCATCACAAACTGTAAGTAAATGCTTTGTCTGGAAATGACCATTATTTTTTTGATCATGTTGTCAAAACACTCACATACAATAGCAAGATGACTTGCTACTAGCTACTAGATACTAGCGTTGATACGGTTTCCTATGCAATTATGTGCAATGAGCCAATCATAACAGTGGCTGATTCCTAACCAGCCTTAAAGGACACGCCCCTTAAAACAGGTCATTTTACAGAGAGGGTCTCAATGAGGGTTAAAAATTATTATTTTTCCCAATTTTTTTTTTATGTGCAAACATTTCTATTATCATTAGGCCTATAAGTAACCCTCAAGGAACATATTAAAATAATTTTTTTTTAAATGTCATAACCCCTTTAATACTGAAATGATTTTTGAAAACTCAGTGGTCAAATGCTGTGGCCACCTGACTAGTGACTGGTCTTTGTGTGAATGTTAACAAAACTGCAAGATTTTCTGAGTGTACAAGTGGTAGGCTATTTTAGAAAGGAACATTTTAAAGATGAAAAAGAGGAATTAGGGGGAATCAATCAATTATGAATATTTTATTGCTATTGTGTGAATAATATGTAATCATGTAATCAATAAAAAAGTAACTGTAGTCTGATTACAAGTATTTTAAAATGTAATTTAATCTATTTACAAGTACATTTTTGGAATCTGATTACGTAATCCAGATTACATGTAATCAGTTACTACCCAGCTCTGTCTAATATAAAGTGTGTGCTGCCTACAGTGATTTTAAGTAGCAAGTGAAACAGCGTGCAATATTCTACAACAACTATTTCAAACAGTATTACTGTATGTTACATGCTGGCTCATGAGAAGGTAGTATCAACTTAGTGCCATCAACTAGTTTTAAACTTTGGCAGCAAAGATTTTCAATTCCAGCAATAAAAAATACATCAGCTCCAGACTTCAAAAGGAAAGCTGCAAAGATATTGCAAAGTCCCAAGCCACTGAGGACGTCCCAGCCAATCAGACTGGCAGAAATCTACAAAACACAGATCCAGAGGGATGCCACACAGCCAGCTGGCTTTGATGTGACAGACACACAGATTTTGCTGTTGTGAGGGAAACTGTGAAACTTTTGACACAATAACACGGTAAAAAACGCTCCCTGAAAAGGTGGGCCACTTCAGAAGGGACTCGCAGCGTTTCCGTTTCCGTTCCTCTGCTCTTGTTTTATGCCCTGGTGGGAGCTGGAGAGTTGGCGTTCTCTTATTGCAGCCCACCAACTGAATCCAGCCCATGAGAAATTTGCCCACTTTCTTACTATCTCCTTGGCAACCGCCATCTTTGATGAAGTGAGAGCCAGTGTGGTGGAGAACACACTTTAAACGAAAATGCTTTTCAAATACATTCACACAGATGAAGAACAGGCCTACTTTCTAATTCAGGCAGCTATATCACTAAGGCACATGGATTCATGACAGTATAAACAGAAACTGTATGCACAAGATATACAGTAGATGATAAAAATAAGCCTCATTATACATGAACTAATGAACAAAACACAAGGAAGTGAGGGAAGGAGAGAGGGAGTGCAGGAGAGAAAGGGATATAGTAGAATGGCTTTCCCATTCCAGCATAAAAAAAGCAATAAATGGTCTCCTGTGGTCTTCATACGCAATCTAGATCCACTTATGATGACTTCATACTGGAAACAGGACTCTCTTGATGGTTTAATAATAATAATGCTTTCACTGATGATATAATATGTGCATATAAGGTCGATGGACACAAATGTTAAATACTAAAATACATTTGCATGACATATACAGTATCACTGGTTGCTAGGGTTTTCAGAGTTGTTGCTAAGGGCAATTTCAAAAGTCTGATAATGCATTCGGTATCTTAAGATCTGTTCACACTTGAAATAGTTAACCCATGGTTTTTCTAAACCCCAGGTAAATTAAATCCTAGCTTATCTTGCTTCACGGTTCACACTGCTCATAACAAATTAACAAAAAATGTTGGGTATTCATTAACTGAGGTTTCACACTGTACACTGTTTCGAAACACTGGGTTAACATTCTTATTTGCATATTTGCAGTGTCAGTGTCATTGATTGGACGAATGCAGCACGTGATTTGTTTACATTGTGTATCCTCGTATTATATATTCCAGACAGTAAAGTTTTATCTGCGTGGACTATAAAGTTAAGAATAAAACAATCTCTTCTTCACTCTAATTCATTTGACATTTTCCCTCTCAAACACTGAAACAGCTGTTTATACAACAGGCAGTGTTTCTGTAATGGTCCAAAACATGTGAATATGAGGACTATATGAGGAGAATATGGTGAATAAACCAGAGCAGGGTTTCAAAACCTCTGGGTAAGAAGTGGTGCTAACAACGCTTCTAAATTACAAGTGTGAAATGTATCTTTGCCTGGGGTTTAAAGCAGGGTTTAGAACAACAATAAACCAGGGTTAAGTGCAATGTGAAAAGCCTGTTTTATGATCAGCCAGAAGAAAATTGTATGTTTGATTATCTATGGATAAATTTGTCGTTATGCTTAACCAACATTTATGTGTGGTTATGTGTTACCAAATTTCGTTATTAGAGTTATTTTAGCAATATTTTGAATGAGCTTTTAAGTTTATTTTTTAATTTCAATTTAAGGTCACATTTTATTTGAAGGTCCAATTCTCGCTATTAACAACCCATCAACTATGACTTCTGCCTGATTAAACTTTCATTAATTAAATTAAATTAATTAAATTAATAGTTAGTATAGTAGTTGTTAAGTTTAGGTATTTGGTTGTATTAAGGATGTAGAATATAGTCATGCAGAATATGTGCTTTATAAACACTAATAAACAGCCAATATGTTAATAATAGTCATGCTAATAAGCAACTAGTTAATAGAAAATTGGTCCCAATATTAAAGTGTTACCCAATTTAATTTTAGTAATTTTCTTATGTCACTCTTACCATAAAATGTTAAAAAAATAAATAAATTAATTTTTAGTTTTATTACAGTTCAAGTTTGAACTTATTTCCAGTTTTCTGACAGGAAATGTGAGACACTCACCGCGACTGCCTCCAGCACTTGTTTAACTGCATCAGCGGCGTCTCGTTCGCTGTAGTAGCCCTTCTCCACCACCCTGAAAAATGGAAGGTGCCATTTGGTCTCCAGTGTAACTCCATATTGAGCGTACAAACACTGGCTGACTCTTTTTCCAATTTTCACGTCATTATTTTCCAGCCTTAGTGTGAGTCAACCACACCTCAGCACACAGGATGAATGGAGACGTTTCTATCGATTGGTCTTAAGAAGAGGCTTTTCTTTTAAATGACTCATGTTGACACAACTGTATGAAAATGGGAAATTAGATAACCCTGAATGAGGATAAAATGGAGTGAATAACAGTAAAATCATAATAATAGTTTCTCTATTAAAGTGTTGTTTCGCTATGTGATTAGTTCATGAATACAGACAAGCACCTTTTATTCTGTAACAAATGATGAAAGTAAATTCATGTCTCACGACCAACTAGACTGAAACATTTCCCGAAGAACAACTGATCCAGGTCATTACTTTGTGGTTGCATGTAAAAACCTGCAGTTATCTTGAGAAGCTATTTCTGCTGGATCTATCCACCAACAAAAATTTGTTTTGTTGTTATAAAATAATTTAGGTCGAATCAGTAATGGTAAATAATATTTTGACTTCAATAAAACCCGTTAATTTAGATTTCAGGTTACCACTTTTTCAGTTTTAGTGCTTTTTAGCATGTCATTTTAGCAGGTTCAACTGGGGTTGCTGGCACAACTTTATATTTTACTCAATCAATCAATCAATCAATCAACATATTAATAATAAAAGCTATTTTAGGACCATATTATTTTGTTTGTATTTCAACATTATTTTCATGAAACTTGAGCACTCCCTTTCCCTTTTAGTATAATACAGCTAAATATAAAAGAAATAAATAAATGTTCAATAGTGTAAAAAACTATATTTATATATATATATATATATATATATAATTTAAAAGTATTTTTAAGTATTAAAAGTATTTAAATTAAAATATACATCCCAACTGACAATGCAAAAAATCTTTAAAGGAATGTTAATGGTCCTAAAAACAGGCTTAATAAAGGAAAATTATATTATAATGAATTTCAGTGCCATGAAAATGTGGGTATCATGATATACTCCATGAATTCTGAGTGGCATGAAAATGTTTTCATGAGATTCTCCATCACCCATTTTATCATCCATTAAATGCCGAAAAGTCTGCTTGCTTTCCTCACCATGGTACCATTTCTGTAGCTCAAACAAGTTAGAGCTAATGAAAAAGCGCTAACTCTAAGTATGATTCTTGCCTTAGCAAACACCATTAATTACAGTTCTGGGGAAAAGTGTCAATACACAGCATGGAGTTCACAACTTAATCAGCCATTATTAGCATGTAGCAATTTACCCCCATGGTGAACTGACCTGTCAAATAATTCTCCGCCGGTAACAAGTTCTAACACGAGACTAATCTCCGCAGGGGTCTCAAAGATCTCCTTTAGTTTGATCTGACAGAAAACGGCATGAAAAAAGAGAGAGCGTTTCACTGGAGGAATTCAAACACATCACATGATTAATTATTGATGTAGACTACCGTAGCTATAATGTCTGACTAACATTTGCATAACTAGACCTTACTAAATCAAACACAGACAGTACTGCAGAGACAGGATGAACATCTAAGCTAGATTTATGCATATTTTAGGCTGTGAAACACTGTAACTGCCCTTTAGACTTACTATATTTGGATGAGAGAGGCGCAGTAATACACCTATCTCCGTTCGTACAATCTTCTTGTCAACCTGAAAGAACAACCAAGTCATTGTCTGAGTAGTGAACAAGGTGCACAATTATAAAGCCATTACAATCAGGTAAAGTGCAATAGTGCAACATCAACTCAGTGCAAAAGGAAAAACCTAAATAAAAAATAAAGTAAACCAAGCACTTTTCCACATTTAAAGGGAATATTCTGTACCAAGCTTGTATGAAGTTATTTCTGGATGTTCTTTGTCACTCTTGGAGCTCAAGAACATTGTATGGAAAAGCACCAGAACATTCTGCAAAACAACTTTCATGGGTTTAGAACAATATGAAAGTGAGAAAATTAAAAAGTTAAATAAAAGTTTTGTGTAAAACATAATGTTATTTATAATTATTATTTTTATATTTATTCTTAAATACTCAGTTTTGTATATTATAGTGAAATAGTGTTATTACAATAGTAATATTTCTTATTTTGTTTAATTTTTTATAGTAATAATAATAAAAATCATAATTTTATATAATATATAAAAACAAACTCTTGGTCCAAATTGTGTAGCCCTACAAACAAGCACAACAAACCTGGTGTTCTTTATCATTTTTGGCCATTTAAAAATAAATAAAGAAAATGTTTGTCTAATATATATATATATATATATATATATATACAGTACTGTGCAAAAGTCTTAGGCCACTAGTATTTTCACCAATAAAAAAGGGTTTTAAGTAAGTTATTTCTATCTTTTGCTGTAATGTGTCAGTAGGAAATATCAGTTTACAATTCCAAACATTATTTTTGCCATTAATTGTAATAATCCAGTGAGATTTTTGTCTGATAACAAAAACAAAAAAATAATTCACATTGTTTTCTCTGTCAGCCATCTTTAGTAGTTCTTGCAGTAACTTTGCATGATTTATTTATATGCAGTGACTAACAATGTAAATGCATTACATATTACAGCACAAATGTAACATAATATAATTACAGATGCATTAAAGAGGCTTAAGATCCCTACACAGGCCCAAAAAACACAAATGATGGTGTAAATAGAAATGTATGTACTGCTCTAAAAGTTTTGGCTGACAGCAATTATTATCCATCATTCATCAGACTGATGTAGAGAAATGGAAGACAACAACAGTGAGGTCTTTAAGATCTTAGCAGCTGGAAGTAAGTCCTAACCAGAAACTCCTTGGCTATACAAGGTAGAACAAAGAAATGTGGAGAGAAATGTGTCAGTGCACTTACTGTTTTTTTTAGCATTTTCACAGCATAGTGCTTCTGGGTGCCTTTCTGATGGCATCTGAACACCACTGATGTGGCTCCCCTGGAAGAGAGAAAAATAGCAAATGATTCAGTTACAAATAATTCAGTTGGGCTCATTTACTCCCAATAATAATAACCAAGAAAGTATCCATTTCTTTCAAAATGAAAAAAAAAATCATAAATTGATAGGGTTAATTTATTCTCAATAATAAGAAAATTATTTATTTCTTTCAAGATGAAAACCCCAAGCTTTTGAACGATAGTGTGTATTGATATAAGTGTTGAAATATAACCTCAATAATAATAGCAACCTCTTAGATTTAAAACTATTTACGCAGTAATGACAGCATATAGTATGTGACATGCTGTCAGGTTCCAAGGACAATCTGTGTTTTCACACGTACAACATAACTATTGAATATCAGCTGACATTTTTGTTAAAGCATTAAAAGTGTTTCTTTCATACAAGAATTGTGTTTTAAGATGTGCTGGAGTTACTGTTATAGGTGGATGAACATGTAAGGAATAATTGATGCAGCCATGACACAAAGCGGGTTACATAATTCAACGGACCGTAGTCAATTATTCCACTTATAATACGTTTACCACACCTGTTCAGATTGTTCAGATGTTGTATTTAAAGACATTCATCAGGTTTTTGTCCTTAAAGCACTATTGCGAGTAGGATTAATTTCTTATGCATCTCATCCAACACCTCTGTTGCTAATTCGTAATTTAAAAAAATTTAAAACGTAATTTTAGACCTAGTAACGGAGGTTTGAGCCAGACTAATGCAGTTATTAATGCAGCTTAAAAGCTACTTTAGTAGCTACAATCATATCATGATTACAATCATATCATCAGAGAATAATCAGTTAGTAAGCAACTGCATAAAAAAACTCTGTAGCAATGGATTAACAAATAGCTACTATAAATTGAAAGAAGCCAACTAGAAAAATGTGCAAACATTGCAAAAACAAAAAACATATCTATCCATAAACTAGTGGCAGTAAAACACTTTGAAAGCGTTGCAAAAGACACAAGCAGCAGCGTAATACCATTTTGCACAATGTTTTACCAATTAGCCTAGGCTGATAAATTGTCGGGCCGATTCAAAAAAGTTTTGACTCAGAAACATACCTAGCACATTTTAGTAAATGCACAGCGATGCCCTAGCAAGAGTCCACAACACCTTTGTTAAAACAAGTTGTTGTTTAGCTTTGTGAGCTTTCAATTTCTTCAGATTCAGAATCAGATCACTTAATACGATATTTCACTGGCACAGGACCAGTACAATATGTTGGAAGCAAGCAACAGCCAGCAGTTACAAACAAGCATCTGTGTCCAGTGTGCAAATAAATGAAATTTGGGTGGACAGCTTGGCTAATGCAATTAAAGCGGAGAGGCCACCTCAGTGTCCAAGAACTAGCATCTGGGTACTCATTAGGAGACCGAGTCAGATCCACACAGTTATAGATCACCTCCCTCTCTCTCTATGCTGACCGAAAACTCCCACTGACTCTGCATGTGAATAGACATCAGGAGAGTGTAGGAACCAGCTTATGGCTCCAATCTGCTCCACATAATCCCCATGCAGGTCCCAAAAATATTGATTTCAGTTGGTTATATAACCACATTTGAAAGTATCCATATACCTGCCAACATCAGTTGTCAATTAGCAAAGTATCTCTGTGCATAGAGAACCCTGTTTAGGCTTTCTCTGGATCCTTAGCACTTAGACTAAAGTACTTGAGCAAAAAATACAGCCTAATGTACTGGGTTAATATGAAGGAATTTTCCATATTTATTTTTCACAGATGTTACACTACAATTTTTGAATTATGCATTGTCTCCGCCTTGGGCTCCTCCTCCAATTTCTCCACCTCTGTCGGTCGGCCCCCTGGAGTCGTCAGCCCTTCCTCCACCATGGCTCCTCCCTCCGTCGGCTCCACGGCTCCCGGAAGACACACACACATCAACCAGAGTGAGAGCGAAAGCACACCCATCAACATGCTTCATTCGGGTTTCGGAAGTCTTCGGCAGCACTGAACAGGACTTACTCGAGAAGAATTTAATTTTGTCTTTAGAGTACGAAATCAACAATGTCACCAAAGAAGTGTGTTTTTGGTTGTAAGGGATAGGTAACCTTGTTCAGCTTCCCAAAGAACCCAGCGTTAAGAGAATAGTGGATGCAGTTTGTTTCACTGGGGCAGCAACGGAGTTATGCAAGTGTGTTTGTTTGTTCCCGGCATTTTGGTGACGAATGTTTTCTAAACAAATTAAATTTGTCAGTAAAGTTTGAAAGTTTTTGTTCCTGTATTATTTATATCAATGCCACAGCTTGCAGGCAATCGTTACGCAAAAGATGAGCTTGCTTGTGACTCTTTAGCTCCCCCTATGGCACGCCTCCAGGAGCTTGTTTTCGGCAAGAAGCGGTACAGCTGTATCTGTCTTTTATAAATCTGATAAAACTAAAGACTCTTCGAAAATATGAAGGATGCAATACTACTCTATAGGTACTCAAGATTGACATGACAAAGGGGGAAGTCATGGCCTAATGGTTAGAGCGTCGGCCACGTAACCCAAATGTTGTGGGTTCGATTCTCGTAGCGGCAGGGATTGTAGGTGGGGGGAGTGAATTTACAGTGCTCTCTCCCACCTTCAATACCATGACTGAGGTGCTCTTGAGCAAAGCACCGAACCCCCAACTGCTGCCTGGGCGCCACAGCAAAAAAAATGGCTGCCCACTGCCCCGGGTGTGTGTGTGTTCACTGCTGTGTGTGCAGAGGCGGACAAAGTACACAACTCCATTATAAAAAAGTTAAATAGGGTAAATTTTCATTTAATTTTGTCAATGACACAGTATCGATGGTACAAGATAATCCAGGATTATGGTGACCCAGGGTTATTTTTTTATATTTTTTATTTACTTATTTTATCTCACTTTTTTATTTTTAAGTCCTTTATCTTCAATTTCATGCAAAAATCTTTTTCACAGGATAAATGATTAGTTGAGATCTTAATAAATCCTCCACTGATAAGTCACTCTCTTTATTAATGAAGTCAACCTCCTTCTATTGTAGCATTCACTCCTTGAAATGAGATGCTAGAGGGATTTCCATCTCATTACCTCCCAACTGGACTATTTAGCATTGTTTGATTAACCACTTGCATGAGATTAGAGGCATTTAATTTTAAGGTGATTAGGCTGTTTTGTAACAGAGTTGCCCAGAGTAGCTAATTTGGAAAATGCAGTTTACAACTAAATTACAAAAAAATAAGGTATTTTGTGGCAGTCACTACTAGCACAAAACCTATAGGAACCTAAACAGCTGACAACTGACGATAGCATTGAAAAATAGCAGAACTGAAGTGTGCTTAATTGTTTTGAATGTGCATAATCTTACATGTATATTTTTTTTAAGAAAAGAGAATAATATTTTAAAGAAAAGAGAAGTAATTATAAAATCACATGTAAAGATGTATATAAATCCTAAGTGGCTCAAAAAGTGGTACTCTAAATTTCAGCTAACTGCATATGATATAAATTTAAATTATAATAATACATTTTCATTTAATTGCAGTTAAAATGCTATTAAGTGTCCGAAACATTTCTTTCAGTTCACATTTAAATATTATTTTAAAGTCTATTATTTTCATAATAATCACTCTTTTAAAAAGGCCACAAGAGACTTGCAGCAAAACGTTTGACTATCAGCATGAAGTCTGGTCCACATTCCAACATATTCTAGCCAAGAACCTCCCACGAGTTGTAGCAGCCTGAGAACTTGTAAACATAACTTGTTTCCTGGGTGAATTGATCAAACCTGGTACAATTTGACTTCTGTAAATTGAAAAAAGCCTGCAAATTAGATTTGAGCTTTCTGTTTTAAGATGGTCTACAAACTCTCATTGGGTGACCTGTCAGAGGCGCAGAGAGATCCATCAGCCAGATCCACCAAGCCTGAACTTACAAATCTTGTTCCAGGAAAAAAAAGATGAAATAACCTGTTGAAACAATGAACTGTAGTGCACTCCTTTTGAAAGCAAACAGGATGGCAGATGGGAGCTCTTCCTATTATAAACCTCAATCACTATTAACAGCTCAAAATCAACCAATATTCATCATATTAATAATATCACATTGTGAATGAGAGATAAATACACAGGGGGCAAAACGACTACATCCAGCAGCTACAGCAGATTATTACGAAACACATATGAGGTGATGATGATTACTCTCAGGGGGCCTTAAAGGGATTTTTCACCCAAAAATGAAAATTCTGTCATTATTTACTCACCCTCATGTCGTTCTAAACCCGTAAGACCTCCGTTCATCTTCAGAACACAAATTAAGATATTTTTGATGCATTCTGACAGCTCTCTCACCCTCCCATATACTGCAAGGGTCCTTACACGATCAAGGTCCAGAAATGTAGCAAGGACACTGGTAAAATAATCCATGTGACATCAGGGGTTCAACCGTAATTTTACAAAGCTATGAGAATACTTTTTGAGCACAAAAGAAAAAAAAACGACTTTATTCAACAATTCGTCTCCACCCTGGTGCCATTTTGGAGAGTATCCACTAAACGTAAATTGCCTATGCTGTTTTGTGTCAGCTGTGCCACACGGATACACTGTTGATGTCGTTTACACTTTGATTTGAACGAAAACAACGTTTCCGCATGGCGCAGCTGACACAAAACAGCATACGCTGTTTGCATTCAGTGGATACTCTCCAAAATGGCGCTAGGGTGACGCGGAGGAGACAAATTGTTGAATAAAGTTTTGTTTTTTTTTCTTTTGCGCACAAAAAGTATTCTCGTAGCTTTGTAAAATTTCGGTTGAACCTCTGATGTCACATGGATTATTTTACTGATGTCCTTGCTATGTTTCTGGGCCTTGATCGTGTAAGGACCCTTGCTGTCTATGGGAGGGTCAGAGAGCTCTCAGATTCCATCAAAAATATATTTGTGTTCCGTAGATGAACGAAGGTCTTACGGGTTTTGAACGACATGAGGGTGAGTAATTAATGACAAAATTTTCATTATTGGGTGA